TGCTCTTAACCGCTGAGCCATCTCTCCAGCCCTGAATGATCTTTTTGATGTACATCTGTATGTGGTTTGCAAGTATTTTGTTGAGAATTTTTGCATCTAAGTTCATTAAGGATATGGGTCTATAGTTTTCTTTTTTGGTTGTGTCTTTACCCGGGTTTGGGTATTAGAGTGATGCTGGCTTCAAAGAAGGAATTTAGGAGTTCTCCCTCAGTTTCTATCATTTTGAATAATTTAAGTAGTATTGGTTGGAAGTCTTCTTTAATGTCTGGTAGAATTATGCTGTAAATCCATCTGGGCCTCCTGGGCTTTTTTTAGTTGGGAGGCTTTTTCTTTGTTGGGAGGCTTTGTTTGGATTTCCTTATATGTTATGGGTCTGTTTAAACTGTTGATCTCTTCTTGGTTTAACTTTGGTGGTTCCCATGATTTTAGATATCCATCCATTTCTTTTAGATTTTCAAATTTAGTAGCATATAGGTTTTTAAAATATTCCCTTATAATGGTCTGGATCTTTTGGATGTCTGTTGTGATGTTTCCCCTTTCATCTCTGATTTTGTTGAATTGGATTTGTTCTTTATTTTGCTTAACTGGGCTAAGGGTCTGTATCTTGTTTCAGCATCTGGAGTTGCAGTGTTAGGTCATTTATTTAGGCTCCATTTTTTTTTTTTTTTTTTTGTCTTTTTAAGATGTAGGCACTTAGAGCTATAAACTTCCCTCTTAGGTGTGCTTTTAAAATGTCCCAGAGGTTGGGTGTGTTGTATTGTACTTTTCGTTGAATTCCAGGAATTCTTTTATTTCTTTCTTAATTTCTCCTTTGACCCACTCATTGTTGAGGCATGTGTTGTTTAATTGCCATGAGTTCATGTAGTGACCTTTGTCCAGTGTTGATTTTGAACTGTATTGCATTGTGGTCCATTAGAATGCATGGGATTATTTCAATTTTTTTGTATTTGTTGAGGTTTGTTTAGTGGCCCAGTATGTGGTCAATTTTTGAAAAGTTCCATGGGGTGCTGAGTAGAAAGTGTATTCTTTGGTGCTTGGGTGGAATATTCAAGAGATGTCTGTTAGGTCCATTTGATGTATGGTATTATTTAATTCAGACCTCTCTCTGTTTATTCTTTGTCCAGTGACCTGTCTAATGGAGACAATAGGGTATTGAAGTCCCCTACTGTTACTGAGTTGGGATTAATCTGTGTCATAAAGCCCTGTAGTAGAAT